TTTCAAGTTAAGGAAATTTATCTATAATCTTCGAACAAGCAACCGCTTTCCAGAAAATTGCAAAAGGAGTATTTATTCCCACATCAAGGCGAAGAAAAATGTGTGCTGTTTTCTCTCAAAGTTGCCGACTCTTCAGTCTACAAAATTCGGACTCGTTTAATCGGGTTGTAACTTTCTCCACGTGTTCAATTTGCTTGGTTTTTAAAAGGAAAGCAACTCAATCAATCAAAATTCAAATGTTTTTTGTGGTTCACTTGCTATATTTCGAGTTTGAAACTCATAGTCGAAAGGAAATACACTATTATTCCAGCCTCAAAATCGGATCTTTACTTCTTCCAATTTTTGTACAGAAGTTTGGATCCATTGTATGTACAAAATACTGCAGTATCTAAAGGAATTCCCATGAAATTAACCTTATCGTAGAGATAAAGTCCGTATGTATGTCTATGATAAATCTTCAATCATAAAATAAGCAAACATGCCATATTTTCAGTTCTTATGAGCTTTTAACCTGCCAAGTAAGAGATGTAACTCACCTCAACGATTTCCATGGCCATAAGCAGAGAGTTGAGTAATTTGAAACACTCTGAAGTAAACCCTAGCCATTTTTTTCACATTTTCTCACAAAAAATGCGTCTTGGAAATACCTACCTAAAATCTCTATTAAGCGAAGTGGATGTTTTGGGCGTGATGTTTGGTACTGTGCCAGCCCCTTCATTAGCCAATATCATCAAGCTACACATTTTCAATCATGTGTATTAGTCAAATGGACAAGGGCAGCACAGCTAATTTGCTTTGATTACATACGGCAAACATAGCAAAACAAAATGAGATAATGGCAAGTGGCGATAATCAATTCGACTGTGTCTGGCTGATCACGGTGTCCCCAAAACATAGGGCCTATAGAGCATCAAATGATTTTTACTGGTCCAGTAGGTCATCGAAATAGTCAACAGCATGTTAAATATTTGATTTCGATTGTGGAGTGACCTTCTTCGAATGAGCAACAAATATTATCAAAAACCATGCAGGCATATTTCGTGATCTTCAAATGTTCATTATCGACATTTGTTTGTCCTATGATCCGTTCTCGTGAAATAGCCAGAACATTCAGATGTCCTTTCCAAAATTACTTATCTCAACTCTGTCGAGGCCTCAACAGTATTCATACTTTGATCATATTTAAAAACACACACTTTTCTGGATATGCGCACATCTCGACCTTCAGTACTTAATTTTCTACAGTATTATAACTTCCTGTATGCTTTGCATGTAATAAAGCGTGTGTACCTATAAAATCATTGTTATTACTTGAAATACTGAATTAATTTGTCGTTTTTTTAAATTAATTTCTGTCAAATTTAGGCCTTTATTTCAAAATATTTTTAAATCCTGCATTGTCCAACTGGCTATTTTCTTGCATTTTAAACAACACTAGCTCAAATATTTCTGGTGCATGTGGGACCGTTGGGAGGAATCTCCCGACAAAACATTTTCTATAAAATAAATTTCCGTTGGCGTGTAACACGAAAAATGCAATTTTATAGTTTTCGCGATAAAATACAAATTTATGAGTTATTGCAGCGATTTCAATTACTCTGCCTATCAAATTTCAAGCAAATGTACGACTAATTCACTGTGATTAAAATTGGCATATACCCATCTGTGGCAACGGTTTACAAATATTCCATCCATACAGAATGCATTTTAAAAAATTACTAATATTTGTCATGTATCGACTTGAAACAGGTAGGAATTTCCGAGAACCCTGTCTGAAAAGCAGTGATTTAGCAAACAGATATTATGCAGCAGAAAGAGATTACTGGGAATTAATATACCAACATACATTAGTACCAATGTTGTGGTTTCGATCAATATGTATGAACAGTTAGCAGATTGAATCGACAATAGAGTGCTTATATAATAATTTAAGGAAAACCCATAATTATTTCTGTGTTGATATAAACAGCAATAACTTGGCAAGTTTTTATAGGTGAAATGTTTCTTTGCAAATATTGCTTTCTATCAAGAAATATTTCCTTTACTCAAATTTGAAACGTTTTTATTTAACGTTTTCTAGTGCAGAATAATTTGAACTTTCTAAACAATATTTGTATTTGTACAATCTGTTTTAAATAGCTGGTTAACAGGCTTGGAATCAATTGAAAATCTCGAAAAATAAGTTCATATTTTTGAAAAAGGTGTTCTAAATTAATTCAAAATTGAGCTTCCCATGCAAACATCTACGCCTCGTTTTAGAGCAGACTCGTAATTTATCTTTATATGTTGAAACTGACAGAATGTGCAATTTTACTTGTTGCTGTTGTGGGCTGCTTCACTCGATTTTACAATAAAATTGCGACAGAAATTAAAATGTTCTAGTTTCACGCAAATGCATACAGTTCGTATTTTCAAGAAAGCTGGTTTAGACTATAAAAGGGAACAAGAGTTTGAAATTTGGTTAAGTAAATGCTTGAAGTTGCGGATCGAAATCAAATATTCAACCTGTAAAAGAGATGAAAATAACTTCTGTCCCAAGTATGCCCAAAAAACAACTTAAATTGCGGTCCGATGGAACAATGTTGAAGTGTTGAATTGCAACTTTAGTTTATAATTTATAGCAATAATTCCGTACAACCTTTACGTCAGCATTGGAACTTTCAATTTGAAATCAAACGAACATATTTTGCGCTATTTAGTAAAACATTTCTAAAACCGAAAAATTAAATTGATATAAAATTGTGCGTAAAAAAATTCTGTCGAAGAAGACTGATAATAATAAAGATAAAGTCTAGAGAGAAAGAAGTGCGCGATGCTTTAGCTTTATGTATTCTGAAGAATTTGGAACTTTAATGGTCTGTTTATCCTGAGCCATTCGAGACATATTCATTCTTTTATGACCGGTCACTTTTTCCGCACGAAATTTACTAACACTTTATTTTATTTGCGCATAATTTCTCTCAAAAAGCTGTGAGAACAACATTTTACTACAAAAATTATTTTCACAGCCGATTTGTGGCCGATAATAATTTATTAAATCGAATCATAGTTCTATTTTTGGACAAATTGAGTTTGTAAGATAAGTAAAAAATTCAATAAATCTTTATGAAGGGTATTTAAATACAGCCATGCCGTCTTGGTTAAAAGTTTAAATATTTTTGCGAGCAATAGTGGTAGCCTATAGGGAAAAAAGTATTCGATGTTATACCGTTCTGAGTACTTTATATCTTCAATCGTCTGTTCATTCTGAGCCATTCGACCGATATTCAGTTATTAACCTGTGCGAAATTTACTTCAAACTTATTTAATTTGCGAAGAACAAAGTTGGCAAGAGTCTGTGCGGACAACATTTCACGTTATTTCGTTTTCATGCCTAAGAATATTGCCTTTTGTCTTATTTCTTTATTTTTTGCGTATTTAACGTAACAAAACAAACAGTTTTCAAAAGTGCTAAGCTTGTAACAAAATTTTTTTAGCAATTAAAAAAAGTTGAAATAAATTTCGTATTGACAATGTGACCGGCCATTAAAAAATTAATACATATTTCTCCAATGGCTCAAGATAAACAGACGTTTACAGACCCGAATTATTCAGAAGAGGCTCTAACGCCCTACACTTTTATTTGGGTTGGAGCTTGTCGATTGCAACCGCAAACGAATGACTAAGAAAGGCTAAGAAAAAAGTGACACAATTGTAACACTCCCCTGTCCCTGTACAATATGTTTATCAAATTTGCGTTTTCTTATCTTGTAAGTAAAATTTTGTTCAAGAATAGAGCTATGATTCTATCAAAAAGTGTTAAAATCGGATCACCGATTGAGAAAATATTCACAGTCAAAACTGAGTAAATATTTAAGCTATTCGTTAAATTTGGGACGCAGTGTAGAATCGATTTTTCAGTCTTCGGCTATTAATTACTTATCTTACTTTATGAATCTGTTAGATAAATAAAACACGCATTCTTTTATTTTAAATATATATATTTTAATATCCTTTAAGGCGCATAACAAAAGAATATAAAATGAAACATTTTGCGCCACTATTATAGATCCACCCACTTTCCATCCTCCATTCAATCATAGGACAATGGAAGTCTGCCGAAATACGGTATTTTCAATATTAATACTGCAACTGTCTAAAAAAAACTGAATTTAACTGGTACTTTTCGTCTAAATGGTGTATTTGACCAATTAGGAGGCCTTGAGCGACAATTTAATCATATTACGTACAGTGGTAAATACGTTTTTCCTAGTCGCGATCGGCTGTGTAACAGTATGAAGCGCATGGAAAACCATAGAACAAAACTACTTGGGAAAACGACGCAATTTAAAAAATACTCAATTGCATATTACAAGCGTAGGAGTTAAACTGAATATTGCGTAAGTTAAGAACCAATTTGATCTGAAAACGCAATAATACGGCCAAACGCTTCACAAATAGAGCAGTTTTAATTACTTTACTAGTAATGGATGATTTTTGAACACATTTAAATGAAACACTACAATTTCTATCAGCATCAGATAGTCTACAACAAAAATGCTTCTTACATACACCTATAGAAATAGTAGCGATTATTCAAAAACTCTACTATACTGCTACTATAAATTGAGTGATTTGGACTGGCAAATGAGAGTCTAGCCAAGTAAAAATAACCCCGCCAGTTTCATACGGCTTCAATTGATTAAATTCGCATAAGTTCTGTCCACTTTTCTTATTATTTTTTCACAGTAGTAAAAAATCGCGTTGACTAGTTTTATTTAGACATTGTGGTATTTAGTTTCCAAAATTTAGGCACTATAAATAAACCCCGGAAGTAGTATAAGTTTTCTTTCAGACCTCTGAGCCTAATGCTGCCAAAATGCCTATTTATAATTGTACTAATTGCACATTCATAACAATTTCAACAACGAGTGCGTGCCAGTGATGTGGATCATCGCCAGCTTGCATTTTACGACATATTCATTAAATGTAATTTGCTAATTTAGTAAATCTTGTTTCAGGTATGGTAGAGCAAACAATTTTCTTGAGACACTCCGCTCTTCTCAACTATGATTCCGAATCATAATTTAGAGCCTCATCAGGAATATTTTTCCAAAAAACACCGTTTTAAACATTAGGTAAGAGCACCGACAAATGGCACTATTGAGACATGGTCTAGCCCAAAAATGTTTACATGTCTGCAATTATGCGTTTATCATCGTTTCTTCCCTTGAACTTGGTACCAAGCGAACGGACATCGTACCGTTGATAAGTGAGACAAAAACGCATCAGTTCGTTCAAAGGTTCTCTATTAGTAAACAATTAATATTTGATTCATAGTGCGCTAAACTATATAAATAACAACGTCCAATTCGATGTATTTATGCCATTATGGTGGCTTGTAGATATACAAATACTGGGTGTTTACAAATTTTTAAAACCACACGGAAACTTATGGATTAGGCTCGAATAATTCAAAAGAAAAATAAAAACATTAAGAATAATATCGTCTTTTTCAGAGCCAGCGCAATAAGAAAATACGTAGAAAAATTGGATTTTTAATTTCTTAAAGAAAAAGCTCGTATATTGCAAAGGGTGAAACAGTTGGTTGGAAGGATGAAATAACGATAATATTAATTTAAAGTTTTTTCTAAACCAGTAAATGACTGGATTAAGTTTATTAAATCTGGCTCATTCTGCTGAATTGTTTGAGTTTGAGCTTAATTTTTTCTCAAAATTTCTTTAAGAATTATCATCGAGTAATTTAATCTCCATCTTTTTGGAAACTATCAGCAAAAAATCTAGGTAATTTATTTTTCCAAACATTACCCCCATCTGGCTCTTGGTGGCAAATCTACCTAAATGAAAACTTTCCCTCAATTATCGGTAATTTTCCAATTTACATTTAAAGGAACTTTTTTTTACTTTGACCGATTTTAATCCAAAACTTGGCTAGTGTTTGTTAGAAATGTTGGTATAAAGTTTGAAATTTATGCAAAATTGAGGTACATAATGGGAACGATCTGCCTGTTTGTTTGACATGTTTACGAGGTCCATAATTTGGGTTTGAATTTCGAAAATTTTCGAGTTCGAAACGTCAAAGAATTGGTACATCGCCAATTGTGTTGGCTGGTGAAAGTAACAATCAATTGTACACTTTCGCTTTAAAATTGTCTTCGTCGTAGCATTAATTCGTCTGTTTCAAATGGTCAACAATAGACCGTTATAAACATTATTTAGTCCGTAATTTTGTCAAGAAGCGTGTTTTTTTTGTGAACAATGAACGAACGCATAAATTGAAAATAACGCAATCAAGCCCGTTTATAGGAGAGGTCAGTGATATCTGATTTGTAAACCGTGACAATTTTGCATCGAAATAGAACACAGATTGTTACCTATAAATTCGGGTATTTTTAGATTTATAATTTTAATAATTCTGGGCGCAAAGTTTATATAAATACTAGAGGAAAATGAGCTTTACCAGATTTTTGTTGAGCAAGGAACACAATAACCTTTGTTTCCTCTGCCACTGCCTGTGCATAAGTTTATGAGATACACTTGATAGAGAATTAAATAGGACGTTTTTCATGTGCAAGTGCACTTAAAAAATATTGACAGTTTTTGCGTTTTTGGCCAAATTGGTCCATATCTCAAGAACCATTAGATCTACGTAGCTCGTTTTTCTATTACTGGATATAGAGTTCAAAACCCTTTGACTAAGTAAAACATGAGCTAGAAAATAGAGGCATTTTCACACACCAAGCGAAATTTGCGTATTATACAAAATAATAGAAGATAAGACCTTAACTTCAATCATCGCGCCACTTATTTTGCTCATATCTCTGGCATAATTTGGGCCAGTCAGCGCCTTTCTACATCACTGGATTAATCATTACATATCTGATTTCTTTAAGTGAAATAACACAAATATGGGCAGTTTTCACAAAAATACGTTTTAAGTTTAGGGTTTAACATCATTTTTAGTTTTGCGCGGTTTTGGCAAAGTTGGGATGTAGGCTCAAACATAAACCGCTGTATCGAACGGAAAATATATATAGATAGAGGGTTAAAAAACCATTTACCAAGCGGAAGTTGAGTTTGGAAATGTTGACAAATTTCGCACGAAAAACAAATAGTTAATATTTCACACTTAGAACAAACTCGTGTCAAATATGACGCCACCTTTCCATTAACTTCTAAGAAGGAGATAGAGCTAGAGGGCTGATTTTTCGACCACCGAATAGAGAATTTAATAGCACATTTATCATGCAAAACATCAATTGGAAAGTATCGGCCGTTTGCAAATAAAAAGCCCAATTTCTACGTGTTTTTTCCATAAAACACTAACACCCAGAAACTTCATAAAATGCTAATTTATTTAAAAGATACTTTAGTAAATTTATAAACTGTGTGTCATTTGCGGTCGAACTACAAATAATTACACTCTACACCTTGTGATTATTTAAAAATAAACCGATTCTACGCACCGATTTAAACAAACCTTTCGGTCTGTAATAATAGGAATCGCCTTTTTTTGGCCAGCCAAAACTCGTTATAATGGTATGGACGAATACTAAGCATAAAAATAGGCCAATAAAATAAATGCGCCAATTAAGCAAAGTAAATAAATAAACCGACTATACAATATTTATTGCAGACAATCGGGCGAAATTAATGAACTAAACAGTTTCACTGGGTTTTAGCGGTGTGTTGAGTTCTGTGTAATTTACGTACGGGAAGAATTAAATTAGCGAATTGAATGGCGAAATTCTAATGAAGTCTTGCAAGTACAAATAATAAGTTTTCTTGGTTTTTTCATATTTATTTTCTAGTCTCTGTTTTATGAAATTTGTTGATGTCTTTTTTGCATTCTATCGGCTATTAAAACCGCAATTCTTGATAAAAAAAAATTGTTAACGTTGCGTTCAATCAAATTAGCGCAAAAAGCACGCTTGGAAAACTTTGATTCATGATCCAAAGTTTAGTAATTACTAGAGATTTCGGAAGAAAATTCAAGTTTCTTACAGTAATTTTACAAGATTTTTATCAGAAAGAAGCGACGAATGCAATAAGATTAAAATACAAGCTCCTAGTTTCAGATTCGAAATAATCAACATTTTCTATATATTGGAAAACTCCTTACGTCGGAAACAATTCAATGAGCCCAAAAAAACGTTTGTAAAAGAAAAAAAAAATTTTGATCGAAAATTTTGTGAGGTCAATTTTCGATTCGATTAAGTCGTGAAAAAATTCAAGACTCTTAAAATGGGTTGAATTTTGCACCATTTTTATTAGAAAAAAACGAGGAATGCAACGAGCTCATTAAAAAACAAGTTTCTTAGTCTCAGTCTTAGTTTCAGATCCGAAATAATCGACATTTTCTCTTCCTTTTGAGTCGTTTTTGCGCAGATACAACTTTTAAACGACTATATCTTCTTTATTACAGACCTGAAAACCTTAGACTTAATATATAATAAAAGTATATGCATATTGGGAGCTTCTTACATCGGAAACAATCCAATGAGCGCAAAAAACAATAATCCATTGAATAATGTCTAGCTGAATCATGCCCAAGATTGCACTTGATTTTTTGCAATTTTGAGGCATAAATATTTTCAAAAACCCCCAATTGCTCTTTTATTTGAAAAAATAATGGAGATTTTATTTATAGGGGTTTCGGATTTATTCCGCGCAGCAATTTCACCGTATTGTCCAGAGCATATCTAATGCATGTCTGCAAGCGAAACATTGCAGTGTTTCGAGTCTTAACGCCTTTTCTATTGTTCACAATATTATACTAAAGTTTCAATTTTACCGTTACTTTTGATTTTGCATTTTAAAGCTCACAATCTCAAATTTTCCAGGTTGGCCAATATGTGAATTGTCTAGCAACTTGCAGCAAATGGTATTTAATTTTGTTTAAGTTGCAGTTGATCTTTGGGATTTTATTGTCTAGTTATTTTAAAGTTTTATTTAAGAAAATTGTCAAACAATTTTTGTTTGTTTCATAAAACACAATTTTCAACTTAAAGGGCAGTAAAGTTATGGACGTTTACTATCCGGCTTAAAATGGTCTTCAGCTAGAATAATTCTTTTTTGAAATTTGCAACGTGCTATATTTGAATCGACCCATTTATGAGATTCATAGCTAGTCAGTTATTTAATCAGGTTGCATAGCTGGCGGCTGTTAGGGTAATGTTGAAGCAGAGTAAAACCCTGGCTGGTGCTGCCTGGCTGTACAAGGAAAATTCGAATCATAGTCACATGTTTTCCACCGTGTGCGAACGTCACGTGGAAAACGACGCAAACCTGGTTTTACATGATTTGGCTCTTGGCCACAATTTTCCTGACGACCGGATAAGTCATGGCTTGAAGTGATGCTAAACGATTTATCTATCAACATTTTTTTAGGTGTTTTATTCTATTTTCTACTCTTTTCAACAATTAAACTTTAAATACGGCAAACACGAAAAAACGTAAATGAATTTGCAATCGCAACAAACGTTTCCTTAGATAAAAATAATATGTTTTCTATAATTTCATGAATTCATCTGTTCATTCCAACTTTCTTAATTGACTGCACTTTCAGAGTCTTTACGCGAATTGAACAACTGAAAATTTCATAATTCTGGCAATTTCAAAGCGTCCACAATTTGAATCATACAAAACTACATGTTTTTTGGTCTCAAATGAATATTTCCTGAACTTTGTGGATGTTGTGTAAAGTGCACATCAGAAGGAACATCGTTGTGCTGAGAGCATAAAAGATTTTTTTACACAAAGCATGAAATAAATTTTATCTTTTTCGCTTCACTCGCCGATTCTTTATGTAAATTGAGCAACTGAAAATTTCATAATTCTAGCAATTTCAAAGCTTACACAATTTGAAACATACAAAACGACATGTTTTTTGGTCTCAAATGAATATTTCCTGAACTTTGTGGATGTTGTGTAAAGTGCACATCAGAAGGAACATCGTTGTGCTCAGAGCATGAAAATTTTTTTTATAAAAAGCATGAAATAAATTTTATCTTTTCCGCTTCACTCTCAGATTCTTTACGTGAATTGAGCAACTGAACATTTAGCAAATTCACCTTTTTCATACCGTTAACAAGTTGTAACAAAATAAACGGCACTAAAATCTTGAATATTTTCCATACACTTTATGGATTTTAAGTAAAATAGACATTAAATTGAACAGTCAAACAATGAACATTTTTTTACAGAAGGTATGAGGTAATTTTTAACTTTTTCCCTACACTTTCAGATTGTTTTCAAAACATAATTTCAAACAAGTTGTAACAAAGAAAATTAAATGTTTTTTGGTTCAAATCAAACTTTGAATAATGTGGTTTTCACAGAAACAAAATTCGATATTGGAAAAAGGTACGCTCAATTGATAAATAAAAAAAATCCTCCAATATGGCGTTCAGCAAACTACTTAACTCAACTCTCTATTTTTATAATTATTTAAAAGCCCTTAGCAAAAATAGCTAATAGAAAATCACGAGTTGGGCATAAAACTGTTGAATGACTTAATTTTTTATAGCTTTGCTGTTTAAAAAAAAGCTAATTTAGTAAGTCATTTTAAATATTGGACCAAAAATTGCATATCAAAGCTTTTGGGTTTGGGATTGTTTTATGTCCTTTATATCGTCATTTTAACATACCTTATTGTTCCAAAGAAAGTGAAATAGGCGCGCGAGCCCCCCAAAATTTCGACGTGACGTCTCGCAGAAATAGAAAGTGCGTGAAAAATGTAATAATTTAATTAGCCAGTGAATAGACAACCGTACGAACTCAGATTAATGAGAACGGGTCGAATAACTTTTACTTTTGTGCTTACTGCTGTTTCGTAATATGTCGAAATGGAATATGATTCGGACAGGAAAGTAGAGGAAGAGAACCGACTGGTGGGTAAAGATTGCTTTTCCAAGGTGGCTGCTGATTGATTACACTGAATTCCTTGATGTCTTCATTAAAATTTTATAACCACTTTAATTGAATAATTACCTTAACTTCAGCTGCTATTTTTGAACAATATAAAAGAACGAACAATATTGAACCAATTCGATGAACTGAATGCACTTTCATTATTACACCAAACGCATAATGATAAGTCATGAATCCCTTAAAGAAATTTAAAACAATTTATACAATTTTTAAAATCTATTAATCTACTAAGCAGATTCCCGTTTTATAAAGTCATTCAAACTCAAAGTCTACTTGTTTTCAACGATGACTAATACTAATGATATGTCGGCCGCAATTGATATAGCTTGATTGGATATTGTAACTTAATTAATTTTCAAAAACGCTCATTTGGAAGCATTCATCACAGCCAACATATTAAGATTTACAGACATTACTAGAAATTGTGAAATATATTTTCTCTTGCAGTTGTTTTACTTCAAGCTAAATCTCACTGTTGTAGCAGAACGCAATTTATTACAATGACGTATTTGTGTAGTAATGATATGTAAATTAATCAGAAGTTTATTGAAGTTTATTGCTAAATTGATGATACCGAGAAGCTACGATATAGAGAGAAGAATGTCTTACTTGAGAATCCTCCGGTCTAATGTTACCTCTGCTTACATACAAATTTGAGCGATGTGCCGCTGTTGCGAATAAATGACAAAATAAAAGAAGTTGGGCAATAAAAAAATTGAAAAATGTAACTAAGAACGTCTACAAGAGACTTTAAGATAAGATAAACATCATAAAGCAAACTTTTCAGATAAGCAAAAAAATGCGAGAAAATTCGTGAAATTCGGATTGTGATTGATTCAAATTAATTCATAATTTTTGATTATACAAAATAAAAATATGTTTTTCTTGTGCTCGACTTAATATAGGCCGAGTTGCTATTTCAATCATGCATAGTGGAACAGAAATATTTCATGTCAAAACTTAATTATTGTGACTTTCAGCTCGTTGTGGCAAATATTTTCTTGCTGACCTTTTGCACTCACGAGTAGCTGGCATCCTCAGAACTGCTCTAGCTAAGAATGGAAGCGACTCGTGCGTGAAAAACGTCTTTTACAACAAATTTGTTTCACGACAACCTAAAAGGCCAAAATCTCACCAGTTCCATGCAATGACTAATGATTACTTGAGTCAATTATAATATTGAAATTTCGCTTTCTGTGTGAAAACTACTCGAATTTCCTCACTCATCTGGTTATGACTGAATTGAATTTTCAGTTTTCTATCGAACGATGCCAAAACGAATTCTGTGGCCCAAATGGTTCTTGAGAAATTTCGAAAAAAGCAGCGCCATGTTTGAGTCGATTTTACATCTAAAAAAAAAACACGCAAATCTAAAACTTCTTGAAATCAAGACTTTTTTGAGAAAACTGCCAAAATTTCCGTATCGACGGATTACTTTCTAAAAAGGCCATTTGGTTCTCTCTGGAACGATGTAAAAATGAGCGTTCTTGCACATTTTGTTTCCGAGAAATGAGCAAAAACGGGACGGAAAACATGAAATTTTGGCACAATCTTGCAGCTAAGTGTCTGATATTGAAATTTGGGTTCTGGGTTAAAATTACTCGAATTTCCTCACTCATGTTCTTATCACTGAATCGAATTTTCAATTCTCTATCCAACAATGCCAAAACGAATTCTGTGGCCTAAACGGTTCTTGAGAAATTTCGAAAAAAGCAGCGTTATGTTTGAGTCGATTTTGCAAGTCAAAAAACAAGCACGCAAATCTAAATTTTTTTAAATCAACATTTTTTTGAGAAAACTGCCAACATTTCCTGATGGACCGTTCACTTTCTAAAAGGGCCATTTAGTTCTCTCTGGAATGATGTAAAAATTAGCGTTTTTCCTCATTTTGCTTGCGAGAAATGAGCAAAAACGGGACGGAAAACATAAAATTTTGTCTTAATCTTGCACTTAAATGCCTGATATTCAAATTTCGCTTTCTTCGACTAAATCGAATTTTCAATTCTCTATCCAACGATACCAATATCATATCATGACCAACCATGTCATCATTACAAAAAAACCTTCTTGTGTCCTAACGGTACATACTGAGCGCTTTTTGCAAATATAAAATCAATGTTAATTTCATCTCCCGCAAAAACTAAAATAATTGTTTTACTTAACAATCAAACTTGTGAATTTTGGTAGTGAGCTATAAGAAGAATTAACATTTTACCACTATCAATGGTAAAGTAAATTGTTCAAAAGGGAAAGTACAAATGTCTGCCTTTTCTCTGGTTCACGATTCAGTGAATTAGCACTTCTGCATAGTGGGTATGTTGAAAATCAACCCACAAAGTTCAATAAAAAACCAAGTGAATTTGTTGTTGAAAGTTTGGAAAATTGCAAATCACATAAATTGTTTGCAACGAACTGCTAACCGACCGATTCGAATTCGTTGAATTTTATTAATCGAAAATCCCCTAGGGAGCTGCTAGCCTTCTCTTGCCCAATCGAAATTATTTAAATACCAAACACGTTAATTTCATCGTTCAGCCAAATAAATCGAGTTCGGTATGGTTTCGTCTTAAACTGGTTTTAATACAATCCTTCCTATAGTTTCCAAAATCTGACGTTGCGACGCTTATTTCTCCGCGCGAACTTTCACTTTCTTTTTTATTATTGTCGGTTTTAAATCGACTCAGTGAATAAAAGTTTAAGTAATGAAATCCGCTGGAGCAGATCGAACAAAAAACCACTTCGGTACTGTATCGGGACTCGTTATTATTTTTATTATTAAATTACCTTTTGGCTACACTACAGCAGAAAAGTTAATTGTCGATACTAAATTGCCTAAAATACTCGCTTGGTATACGAGATCACATTGACTTTTTTTACCTTAGTAATAACGTTTTACGTTTCGGGTACACTTTGAATTGGAACTACTTCAGTTACTATATAATGAATCATTTAGAACAACAAGTCATTGTTAATTTACACGAGCAAAACGTGAAGTGCAGGTGTGTAATCTATCCACTCACCGACTCAATCAAATTCTTGTATCATTGGAATGCCATTGAAATATGCTCAGTAACTCCTTCACAAGATTGCAATAAGAAGAAAAATTCAGAGTATTTTTTGAAAAAGACTGGGGTCGCAGAACAGAATAAATCCCACGACAGATGGACATTTCGAAGAAAAGATATACAAATTATTTTTGCCCAGATATTGAATAAAATAAATAAATTACTTTTAAAAATCTTATCTCCCCCGAAACCGCAGGGCAGGTTTTGCAGCTACCATGCAAAATAATAATAGTATAAAGTATGACCCCCTTGATTTTTGAATCACGTTTCATTTTTTGACTCATAATTGCCCCACATCTTAAAGTGATCCCACCGGCAGTTTTTCTACCATTAGAAACAGTTTGAAAGTTTTATATTTTAAATCTAAAATAATGACTTTGATTTAATCCATTAGTAGGAAGTGAGTTGAATAAATAGTGCGTCCCTGAAATCGATATTGCAATATTCCAAACCATCAATGAGCACGCTAAATTTCCACCTCTAAAATGGCTAATTGAAATCGTTCTGAAACTGGGTTTTAAAATGTTTTTGGTATCCGCAACTCAAGTTGGTTTGAATGTTGTTCACTACTCAAATCATCCTCCATTTTTAGTGATTTCAAATCCTGAACTCAAATCGAGCTAGCCTTGATATTCACTGAGAGCAGAAAAAAACTGGAAATATAAATCAACAGTTCAGGTGTACCTTCGAACAATTAATATTCATAAAAGCGATACGAATTGGTTTGCATATAATGCTGTCGTTCAATTCGCTTTGTTATTATTACTAATTTTTGCAGTATTCATTTATTTCCTTAATTGGATTGTTACTTGAAAGCAGGAATGGCGTGTAGACTTAGCTCGATGATAATAATAATTCCTATTTGTTTGGCTTACTAATGCTACTACTTTTTTCAAGGGCCTACGCACAAACGGACAATTTTGGCAAAGTAACAAAAGAAGCAAACCTTAAATAAGTCTGTTGATTGGAGCATAATCATTCCATTCTTGGTGAAGCAAACGAATGCAACATTTGCTACAGTTTAATCACCGCATGAAGTAACCTAGAGCAACGTTTCGTTTCAAGTGAAATTTCCATTTTTCACAGCCAATCCTGCAGCAAACGGGTCTGAAAAGACATACAGGTTTTGAAGAAAGTGCTGCACTAGTCTGACGGTGTACTAAATGAGAATTACGTGGTTTCCAAGACATTTATTGCACGGAAATTAGACTTAGAATAGTTGAAATGAAAATATACTTGAGATGAAAGAGACAGCGTTATCTTACGCCTTTCCAATGGAAGGCGAGTCAAGCACTTCAAAATCCACCTTCAAACCATTTCATCTCTCATATATCCCCATTAACAGTTAATAGATAGTTCCTATTAATAATAGTTAAGTCAATATTTTCAAACTCAGCTTCTGCTGTTGACGTTTATTTTTACTTTTATATTTGCATTGGCTAGTTTGATTTCATCACGATCTAATCATCTAGCAGTAGTCATTAATTATCCGCCTTAATCGGAGATTTCAAAGGAAGATTAATAGCAAGTCCACAAAAATCTGTATGTAGTTGCTTCAGAAAGATTTAACAATCGGTGAAGGAGAACAGGAGAAACGAAGCAAGAAGAAGTTTACATTCCGAATAATCTTGAAATATAGATATAGACATTTAAAGATGAACTGGCCTTGATTGATAAGCTATGCTCGTACGAAAAAATAGAATGTGACAAATTTCCATACAGTTATCAGAGAATGTTAGCAAAAAATAGGAAAATTGTGATCAACCATGTGATCTTTACTACCAGAAAAGGGCACGTTTCAATGCTAGACAAACTTCAAAGCTCTGAAAACATTATTTTTATAGTCGAGTATCAAAGCGATTGAGGTTTAAGCACGGTCGGAATCGCTTTGAAACTACTTGAAACACGACGAAAAATAAAGCTAACTAATATGATGATGGAAGATTTTTACACTTTCATGAAATGCTGTCATGAACATATTTTTTCATTAAAATATTAAGTACGATCTTGAACAATTTCTACCTCATAATGGGCGCTCAATTGAGCTAAGTATTCTCAAAAGCTCAATTGTATTTGATATAATAAACATTTATGTTTTTATCGTTCACTCCTTTAATTGATTTTTGATTTATTCATTAGCTAATTGTTGTTAGGTGATTTCTTATAATTTTCCATTTTTCTCATATACATAGTCTTATTTTAAGAAGTCTTGTTCAAATTATACTGAGAGAATCAAACGCGACATTTTTTCTCAAAACAAAAAACAGCAAAGATTTCCAAAATGCACAAGAAACAAGGAAAACACAGTGCAAACATGGGAAAATGAACTGAAATTTCATCTAAAAGCCACATGTATGAATAAGCAACTTAAACAGACCAAACGTGTAAACAAAAAATATCATACAAAGAATGTCGGTTCAACCATTATAAATAATAATATTCGTCCAGTTGTTAGTGGTTCAATATGTAATTATACATGAAACTAATTGGTTTCGATTGCTTAAATTATACTAATAATAGGTGTTGTCAATGTATGCACGAAAGAATGCATAACATGGCTAAAACTTAATCATTTTCAAACAACGTCTTCGAATGTTGCCATTTTAGGCAAGGTTTAGGACACTCTAGTTTAGTAGATTTGCAACATTCTTTTATTATTTACAATAATTAGTAGCTAATCACTTGAGTGTTTATTCCATTTAGACCAGGAATTTCATATAATTGTTCAATAAATTAATTATTTCTGTAACCCAAAATACAAACAGAAGTAAATCAAATTAAAACTATAAGAGAAGTACTAAACCATGATTATACATAAGTAAAGCTTCAAGAGCGTTCGGGAACGCACTTAAAGAACATTTCGATACCTTTGAGATATATATTTCCTAACAATGGCATATTCAAAAAAAATTTGCAATAAAATCATAAAAGAAAGAAAATAAATATTAATGAAAGTGTGATAATTTTATTAAATACAGATCTAAATAATTGCATAGCTTGATGAACCAACGGTAAAATATTTTACATTTTGAAAAAGTATTCGATTTTTAAATGAAAAAGAGTTATTTTGTCATTTGATAAAGACCATCGGGGAGCTTGTTTTTTTCCAATAGGCCTAAATTCGGATTCAAAAGTCCTAATAAAGAAAATTGGAAGTTGACTATGTCGTTTCAAATCAGATAACAATAAGGAAAAAATGACATAACTTTCATAGCACAATTGAAAGTAATGGGTATACATATGGGTTTAAAACACAGTAAAGTCCGCCTACATTTCCTGATAAACTTTCACTTTTGTTCAGGCAAATAAAAGACTCGCCGTTGCTGAAGATTTGTGTGAATCCAGCGACATATAAATTATCAGGAAGAAAAAGAACAATAATTGTAAAACGTCGCTCCGAGCTTAGGCCGAAGATGGAAGATCTGAATGGGGGACGGATTGGATTGTATATCAAACTAATTAAGTTCGTTGCATTGTTTATATGGGATCTTCTTCAAGTAGGAAGCGAGCAAAATGATAAAATATAATCCTTTGTTGTTTCTGTGTTGGCGCAGAACACGTTCAGGAAGTCTTACTTGGATATGTTTTTGAACTTTCTAAGGTTGCAAATTTAACGTTGATTACTTTCCTTTAATATCGAATTCACTCATTTACACCTATACGGTAAGGATCGAATGAAACCAACAAGTCGAGCACGGGGACAAATTCACGTTTCCGACCGCATGACCTACTCACGTGAAGCACGGCGTGGCCGAAGAGCTTCCCTAAACCCGCAGGAATATCCCCAACAATTTGTTCAGTCCTAATTCTCAACCCTGACCATCAACTGCATATAGCAGTTATCAATTCGTGCGGTTTTCACTATAAGAAAAAAAATTGTCCGACTTGTGCGACCTTGTGCAGATATAATTGTGAACTTCGCAATCCAATAGTGAATATAAAATAACCGGGGAGAAAGATCTGATTATTTTTGGGTCGTAACTTTCCTAGATCATTTTGAGTTTTTGCTATTTTGTATTGGAAAAATAATATCAATAAATTCAACTGGCTTAGACTAGAAGCAATGTTATGGCAATGTAGAAATCACGCCATCAAGCATCGATGATTTTTTTTATGTCTACGAATTTATGTAGTTATTCTTCAGCAGTTTTGCTCAACAGCTTGGTTGTGTTGGGTTCAGTTAATATTTATGTCTTTTGCATCGCAATTTTAACTAATTCCTAATATGGTGTAGGCGTGTAGATAAAGTTGTTAATTTTTACCGACTAAATACCAAAAAGCTCTTGAAGCTAAATTGAAGAATTGTAATCTGCAATGGATCTTATTGAAAATGACGATATCAACCTTTTGACGAAGCGAGGAGAAAAAAGTAGCTTTTTCAATCAAATTTATCAAATTGTTCAGTTGAATATTTGTTTTATTATTCCTTCATTATTATTTAAACAAAAAGTTTCAGAATAATATAAGTGCATTTGTTCCAATTCCAAAACATTGCTGCTGTAAATTTATCCTCAGCTTCAACTAAAATATTTGGTTCCTACAACAAAATTCAAATAATAATTTTCCGATTTTTCCTCTTAAGAGCCGGTAAGCCTCCAAGTAAGCAGTAAATTAATAAGCAGAGTGTCGTTAAATAATTTTCATTGAATGCCTTTTTGTAAAACTTTATATGCCTAGTTAACATTTCCAATGCAAATGTTACTCGGATTTATAACTTTTTTTGAAAAAAATATTTTTGAGTTATATGTTTTTTTTTATCAAACATCTAAAGGATACGCAATATGAACGAGATGAATTTAAACTGAGAAAACCTGAAGTCTAATTAAAAACCACATTGTGGAACTTGACTTAGCAAAGTAAATCGAGAATGAAAATGTCTCCAAAAGTTGAATAACAGTGACTTTTTGGATACGTTATAAGCTTGAGATGCCATTCCTGGACCTATTCTTTCCAAGAAATTTTTTAAAACTTTTTACTCGAAGGATCGTCCGTATACTGTTTCCTTCTACTTAAACCATGGCTGAAAGACATTTCTTACCAGGTGGAGAAGTAATTGAATAATTGACACGCACGGTCGCCTGATTTATCACCGTCAGATTTTTCCTTCGGGGGAACTTCAACTCACTTTTTAATAACACGCGATATGAAGATTTCAAGAAATAATCTTTAGTTTCTTATATTAAATTTTGAGCAGGACTCTTTTATGCAATATTTTGCAGATTTCTTCAACTATCAAAAAAGGCTTTAATTATGCTGGCTTGAGTGATTTCAAAGTCTCTACATTTTTATTTCCTATTACTCCTCCTTTCTACATTTTTCTTTTCATAAGGTGATTTTCAAATGCTTAAAGATGATTGTTTTTGTCGTTCATTTCAAAATCGTCAAAATTCGAGTCGGATTGATTGTCTTCTTTACACTTGCGTCACAAAGACGCATTTATAAGATAATAGACCAATAAAAGGAAACAGCAATAATTGACATTGCTCCTCATTCACTTCGACTTTCAACATATGGAATACGAAGAGCTTTCCTCCATTGCCATAACTTTCCAATGCATAACCAAAACCACTCTATAATGATCAAAGCTCATTTCGGCGACTTTTTACCAAAATTACGTTCTTTCAGTACCATTTTACATATCGACAGCAAAACCAATAAAACGCAACTTTGAACGTTCAACGGACTTAACATTGTGCTACAATTTCGGGCCAGATTTGGCCTCGGGACAACTACGGGACTAATTCCATCTCTAATCCAATTGGACAGTACCAACGTGCCATGTGCTACGACAATGGAGAGTCCTCCTCCTTGGACTATGGCGAGTGGAATCAGACACGTAGCAATTTACCCAATGGAAACAGTTGCCTTTTGCATATAGGTAACTAGCAATATTTTTATCTTATGGCGGAAAACGTGGTGAAAATAGAGCCATTTCAAAAGGGTTGACTTAGGTAAACTCCGAACCGCGATATCTTGAGCTTCCAATTAAACATTTCCGAAATCAAGTTGTTAAGAAAAAATATTTCAAGTATCGTCATTAACCATTAAGCCGTAACAATAGAGAAACTCCTTGAAATACAAACTGGAAAACAGTGAAATTGATTAGTGGACATAAACAATCCGTAAAACTGATCGGTCAATGGCTGTTGCAGCAATTTCGAATTGTTGCAATTATTTTTGGTTTAAACCGTAATTTATCTCCACGATGAAACCGGCGGGCTCGGTATTTTCAACACTTTTGCAACGACTTTCACTTGTACCTCGACTTTTTTCGTACTGGCGAACGTCGAGTCATGATAAATGACACACGAAAGGAGCAGAAACGACTTCTGTCTTGAGATATTAGCTGATTCCGAACTAGTGAAGTGAGTTTATAACTAATTACCAGCGACGTTATTATAGACGTAACAATAAAAATTAGCTATGCCTTGTTTATTACTATTGTAAAAATTTGCAGCTATTTATTTTTCCACGCCACTTCTCCCGTCTGGCAGTTACAAGAAGTAAGAATTTACTGTGTGGTCCAAAGTGGGTTCTTTAAGAACCATCTGATAAACGACCTTAGAAGATTTGAAGAAGAAGTTGATGGGTTTAGCAACGGAATTCTCATTTTAAAAGAATGTGGAAGATGATTCATCAAATCTAGAGCTTAATTCCAATAAATACCTACAATGAAAAAATTACACAATTGACCAATTACTATACAGTAAGATAATCGGTGGTGGAAAGCATCTTGTGCGGCCTCCCAGACCAACCGATTTTCCGACTTAAATCCTGATACTATTTTGTGTGCAACTTTTCGTAAGTCAAAATAATGCATTTGGCATTTGTAAATCGCATATTCCGTTTTTGATAGAGAGTTGATGTTAGTAAAATACAACATCAGCGGCACCATTTTATGTTCCTCTACAGTAGCGATTCTCATGTGAAAGAACCCTCATACAATTTCACTGTACTCCTCTTGAAAAAAGTCACAAGTTAAAAAAAAACAAACTTCCAAAAATTGTACTTAAATCTGCATATAAGTATATGGAATGTAAATATTCAATGGAACTCACTTTGAGTTTTATAAGTTGAAGTGGTGCTACAGAAACTCGAAACACTCTGTATATACAGGAAAGTAGTGTGGTAAAGCAAGCCACTAGTCTCAATGAAAATATAAGTAATTTGTCTCAATAACTGTTCATTTTTGCGAAGCAAAAAATGCTACCGAATTACATCAGTTGCCCATTTTTCGGTGAACTTTACTCATGAGGTGATGCGAATAATTAACTCAAAGTGAAAGTTACGCAAATATGCAATCCAATAGCTACCGTGTTTCGCCTTATAAGGCATCATCAGATATGGATGTCGTCAAAGATTAGACAGTGAGGCGTGTAAAAAAGGAGCAAAGTTGAGATCGTGCACATCATTAAGAACAGGGCCAGAAACTAGGGGTTTTACTCTAGAAGAGCGAGTTTCTTTCTGCCCATTCTACTGCAAGCTTTTGCACAAAAGTTTCATATTGCATAAACTATCAGGTTTGGGGAATTTTAAATGCAAACTACTACAACACGTGCCTCTTAAAAAAGTCTACCCTTTGGATCTGATATTCAAACATTAAATTTAATAGTTCACATTTTAGTAATGGGATTCGCTTCGCTACAAAACAACATGAATATTGCATGACCAAGTTGTTCTCACGATGCAAACGATGAAAATATGGACACAACCAGAATTTTTCGCTCGCTTATCGGGATTTAAAAACCTAATTTAATTTAACTAATAGAAATATAAGTGGATAGTTGGAGATGGGAATTCGCCTTTTAGGAGGTAGACAGGCATTTGATTTAATGTGATATACAGTGTGGCCGAAATTCGAGCATATTGGACCTGCAGGTTTAAGGGATTAGAGTCAGCCTGATGAGATTGTTTTACACCTAGTAGTTGGCGTCACATTGTGCAAATTACTGTTGCCTCACTACTGCTAATCATTTTCCAGTCGCTTTCTATTGGCTTAGCTTTCTGTCAGCATTTCTCCCTTTTATTGGGTTTGCATCACCTGGTTCTCAACTTGCTTAACCTCATTTGCATATGGACAGAAAGCTTTTCCACTCGGAAAAGTTGCCCAACCTCCGCGATGTTTCATTAGTCATCGGTTTCTTCAGCATTGGAACAAATATAATAATAGTGTTCAAGTCAGTTATTAAATCCCGAAATCTCCAAATTATGCGCAACCGAGTCTGGTTGACCACTAACCAGAGAGAGAAGGAACTAAAACAATCGGTCGGCCAGCATCATCAGGCAACTAGTTACCGGCGCAATGTAGATAGATTTCCGGCTTTTGCAAAAACCCGGTAAAAGCGAGAGTGCTTACACCGTCCCCCCCTTACCGGCAGCAAAGAAGTCCTCCAATGGATGACGGTTCGCAGGAGTCGCAGGACCGCACACTAAAGTCTAGTTCGGTCTTCGTGAGCGCGCGAACGGCGCCCCGACGTCGGCGGTAAAATTCTGCAGGACGAAAGACCTTCCTCCTGCTCTAGACTGAGTATCCCACGATTGGACTAAGGCTCGTGACCCGGTAAATCGCGAGAGTGCGGGAGCTACGGATATAGCATGTGCTAGGCATGAGTTTAGTGGTACCCGCTTCAAAGTAGGTGATTCTGAGTTTCGTTCTGAGCACCGTGCCACTCTGCAGGATATTGCTGTACTGTGGTACTCGTGGGGACCCCGTTAATATTAACAGACGTTTGGAGTTTTTGGCCGAAAAGTTTCTGAAGTCAGTGAAATGTTCTTTTCACATTATACATTTAGGCTTACTAATGTGTCCTTAATATCCTTCTAACTCAGAAGAGAATACCCTCCATTCAATGATTACTATACCTATGTTAAATGGTTTACTATCAACGAAGGTTGTCTCTGAATTACGAATTCATATATAAAGAGTGGTCACTCATAGTTGGGTATATCTGAAGACTGATAGTACAAAAGTCCTTCAGGATCAGCAGGCGTCACAATTGAAATTTTATTTTCAACTTCCTTTCTATGCTTTCTTGAATCGTTGATGAAATTATTTGAAAGAAAAATAAGACATCTTTTCGATCTGAGCATTCAGAAGTTGATTGCACCTTTTAGAGTTTGGAGTTCGGCATCAATAAAACTAAACGCATGTTGAAAAAAAAAATTATTGCACATTTTCGCCAAAATGTTCATCAAGAAACTTCTGCAGATGCGAAATTATCTTTGATACTGTCGTTATTCTTGGTTTCTTTGTTACCCTTGAAGCTTAACCTAACATGAAGCGACATTATTGTGCCAGCCTTTGATCCTGGTAAAGCCTTGCTTTTTTGTGCTTCTTCTTCAAAAACCATCTTCAACCTCGTTATTTTTATTACGAACCTATTTGTGTATCAGTAAACTCGAAAGAGTTTTTCATAATGAATTCAGCCACGTGTTAAATATTAACACTTACTTATGTTTTTCTCACGCTTTTAAATTATTTTTCACAAAAATCTGAACCTGGAACTGCAATTTAGACTCTGATGCATACAGTGTAAAATATGTATGCAAATTCGCTACTAAATGTCAAAAATTGTTAAATAGTTAACTAAAAATTTACTAATTACATTAACAAAACAGTCTAAGTTAATAATACAAGAGAGAACTTCCTCAAAAAAACAAATACACAAACCAATTTCACAGAAAATAAATGTATAACAAACGCTACAAAGTGGTATCTCCAATGCCCAGTAGGTACTTTAATTTAAAAAATATATGAAAAATTATTAACATCATTCATAGTTGAATCTAATGAATTATTCATCGACCGAAAGGAGATTTTTAGAATTTGCTAATATACAAACAGGACCGTAGTTAAAAACTGAAACTGATGATGGTTTTTAAAAACAAAACGTTAAATCAAAGATACTTTTAATTGCTGTGAGAAAGTGTAGTTGGTTTTGTTGCAGTTCTGTTTAAAAAATAATATAGTTACATTTTGAAGCTTATGTTTTTTCAAAATAAAGCAGAAACGAAAATTCGGTTTATCTTGGTAGCATTTACGGTTTCTAATGTACCCAATATATCCCGCTTTTTAAATCATATTTTGGTATTTAGAATCATATTTAAATATTTCCCATTCTTAAGGAAACACTCTGTATTTAATTTACGTATGTTCAGTCGACTTTTGGGTTTTTAATAACATTAAAATGCGAAAATGTTTTTGTCGATTTGAATCGATTTTTACTTTGCAATATTAGCTCGTATTTAGTAACTTTCGATATACAGTGACCCAGAAAAAATCATTTAAAATCAGCGAACTGTTTTTTGTAAAAAAGCTCGAACTCGTAAATTCTTATTTGTAAATGCGAGTTTTTCCATACCAACTTATTTAAAGACGGTTAATTTTTTCCAAATCGAAGCTCCTATTTTTTACTTCAAGTTCGAGTTCTCTATTGAAGTATAATTCAGGTAATATGTGCTATAGTTAAATTCAACAGCTACCGAGAAATTTGGGGCCATCAGTAATCAACAGCGGCGATTTCTTTCAAATTTATATAAAAAAACGTCAAATTAAATTTTGAAAATATTCAAAGCGATCATTTTGCATCTTGTTATTTTGATAAATAATTTTAAACGTAAATAGGAGGTGCTTTCATTTCCAAAAATGAAGATCTTAGTGGTAACTTGACATAAAGAAAATATTGAAAGAAAATTCGCAATTAAAAATTAGCGGGTTTGAGTTAGGGGCCTCACTGTATAATTAATATGTTGTCCTTTAATATTGTTTAAATCCTTTTGGATTCCATAACTGTGTGATCATTTTAATAAGTTTCCACGTTTGAAACATACAAATTTTAACTCGATAATATTCTGATCTTCATGTAAACTCACATAACTTGTTAGAGAATTTTGCGCAAGCGTCAATAAGCAAAATTACACTAAATTTGTTTAGTTTAATATTAGGTTTGGAGTGATTTTGCTTCATGAGCTGCGCAGTCTTCACCTAGATGTTGATTTTTCACTGACATATATATTTTTTTATTTTACGAAATTTTATGCTTTTAATCAAGCCAGGTATCAGAATAATTTTCAACTTTTTTATAAGAAATTCTATAGGTAATAGACGAATTGTTAAACAAATCAATACAGCTTTCCTAAATACAAAAAATCATCTGCTCCTTCGAATTCACTTATTTCAAGCGTCTAAGACCCTTGTGTTCATTCTATTTTAAATAAATAATTAGATCGCAAAATGCTGCGAAAAGAAGCCACTCAGGTTTATTCAAGGCAGAAGCATATTTGTAAATTTTCTAATTCTCAAAGTGAGTATATTTTCCCCAACACTTGGCATAATACCCCGCAACAATCTTCTATATTCTTGCCACTTATTGATGAGATAATCCAGACTTTAGGAAAATATTTAGGACATGTTGTACGAACTGCAGAAACTTTTTGGCACCAAACAGATAATAATCCCACTGTAAAGGAATGTTGGAATTGTTTTAATTATGTGTGGCCAATATTTTGCGGAAAACTTTCTATTTTCAACACTTGGCGACCAAAAATCGCGTTTCAGTACATTGATCAGTAACGTAAAAAAGCTCAGAATAAATGTTCGAAGATTTCGGAGCGCACTCAAAGCAATTCAACCAACTTAGCCGCTTTAGGTGTTCCGATAACTCAATTATATCTATAAGGAATTTTATCGGAATACCTCGAGCTGATCCCTTGCCTTCGCTGTATAGGATGGAATACCAATTACCACCACAACAGCCCCAAGTGGCAAATTCGCCCGTTGCCCCCGTCTCAGGGCACCCGGTGGCTGTTGGAGTAATGCAAGGAACTCTAACTCATGTACAGGCCGGATTGCAGAATACGAACGGAACGCCTGAAGTTCAGGATGCCCATCGATGGTCGCAGTACCAGCATTTGTGGCGACAGCACGTTTACATGAATGGTAATTGAAAGATTTTACAATAATTTGGTGATGGTTGATGCTTTCAAAACCGAAAAAAAACTACCGAACGAGCGAACGAGTTCTGATAACGTAATCGGTTGACCCAGTGATGTGTGAATGCATTAACGGAAAACGTTCATTCAATGATTATTTGTCCTTGCACAGGATAAATAAACACACGAATTTTATGTAATTATATTGGAGTATGTTTAAAATTGCCAGTGACACGATCAGCAGCAAATTAAATTGTCTGGTAGCACATGGTTGGTGATATGCACAACCGAAAATAGATCCTTGCACTTGGCACTTTCATTACCAAAGTTTAATTTAGATTTACAAATTGTTGCAATTATTTAATTACAGTTGCCCGGCAGCAAATATTATAAATATTCAAACATTGGTGGAGCTTCTAAATTTATAATAAATGTCCCATTTTCGCTGTATATTATTTTTTTAAATCGCTGCAAAGTCTGAACTCAATGGGCCTGCCATGACAATGCAGGTTTCTGTGAATCAGAGCAAACTATTACATTTTAAAAATGTGAACCTGATGTATTTTGAATTTGTGTAAAACTGAATAGTAATTTTCAACTGCACATTTTGGGGAAATACATCAACTTTGTCATTTAGCAATGCTTTAGAGGAATCGCTTATTAATTACTGTTTAAACCTTTAACTCACCACGAAGTTTCTTATTCGTTTTGAGTAGACATTTGCTTGGATTTTCGTTTTCATCGTTCTTTATTACAACAAATATTTTGGAGTTTGGCAAGACATATGCAGTCTTCTTGGCAAGTAATTGATTACATACAAAGCGGTCAAAAGCCCAACATGATAATTCTGAAGAACGATACTGAAAAAGTAAGTAATAATAATTACGAGTGTCTTGTAAACAGATTTTCAGTAGCTTTTACAAAAAACACGCAAATTGATATAAAATCGAGAACACTCGGACTCATGGGCGCCATTCCTCTAATAATGGCCATTACATAGCGAAATACAGATACTTTTGCCCATGACATACCTATACATATACACGAGACCAGAAATTATGGTTTGATGGAAAGGAAATCACTCATTATTTCCATCTTGAACAATCGTATGTGTATTAAACATATCGTGAGATTTTACCAAAGTTGTTAGGAGTAATTTAATTTAATAAGGAGCCTGTCTTTTTTGTGGCACTGCTTGCAACAGATCCCCAAAATATGACTAGTGAAGCGATAAATGGCAAAGTGTTTCTTTCATTGTCACAGACTATTTATTTCAATCAATTTACACGATATTTATGGCCGGCTGCTACAAAACGGTTTTACTCAACTGGGACTTTTTCAATCTAATTCTTTCCAACACTCTGTATAAATCGTGCTGGGCGCGAACCGCAGATTGTGTCCCAATCCCGGAAGAATTGGCTTCGCAGAGAAAGTTTTACCTTTCGGCTTGATTTTAACTGCTAGAGCTTAACTGCCCGGTAAATTGTGCGAAGATTGTTATTAATTGTTGTACATTGCAACCATCAAAAAAACTCTCTATTTTTTTCTTAACTTTATCTAATACTCTACAAATAAATATTCGTATTCCTATTTTATCATTTCAACATTTTTGTTGGAATTATAGCATTGAGCAATACCTTCCTATGTTGACTAAAATAGAAAGTTATCACTCAGTATAATCACCGCAAGGAAGCGTACTGGTGTTAATAGCTGATCTTCAAGTATTTTTTGAAGAGAAAGTGCAGACCCTCCAATGAATGGGTGGGTTCAGCTGCGGTATTAAAATTATTGATGAAATATTATATGTGCTGTATTGGGGGGTGTTGATAAAATGCGAGTCTCTAACTTGAGCTTGAGACTCGCTCGAAGATTATTTCAGTACATCAAAGACAAGTTTTTTTGGAAAATATGCTCATGCACGTCGACTAGTATTTTCAGACGCGCTTTTTTATGTCAGAAAATTATATGTACGGTGTTTCAAACTTGAGATGTTACGTCATAAATTACTTTTTTTTAATGACAATTTTAATTGTTTATGACGATTCCTGAAGAGTATCGATATATTATTCTTGCGTGCGTTGACCGATAATGTCAAAATCAATGCACTTCTCTCTGATTAAGAAAATCCTCATGTTCCCAATAGGCAAATCTCTGCATAACTCGACATTTGCTATTCTTCATTTTCAAGAATTTGTTATACCCAAAAAACGAATCCTTATAAAATAACAATCTTCTAAGAAGTCGCCAACGATGCGCCGGATAGCGCCAATTTGCCAACAACTTATAAATCTACTAGACATAAATGTATTGTTTTTTGCCGAATCAACATTTATTGCTGATTATTGAGTAAAAGAACCGATTTTTTCTCAAGGAAATCCCTCATCTCAAGAAAAGACGTACCCTTGAGACCTGGATTATGTATTTCCAGGCAGACAGAGGGTTCTGTAGAAAATAACCCTATGAATGGCCTCTCAGGTCTCCGGATTTAACACCTATTCCTTATGGGTGTTCTTGAAAAGCAATTTTTTAAAACGAAACTGGTGTCTTATTACACTTTTTTGCCTTCTTGTTTGCCTAAAATTTGAAAAAAAATTACCGATGTTATTGGGATAAAGTGGCACATTTTGCTGCTGAAAAATGTTTACGCTTATTGGCCAAATTATTGTACAGGGTGACTCAAATTTGAATCTTATCAATGAAATATTGTCCCAAACATTCCTACATTTCACGCTGAAACATTCATTTTGCGATTTTCAAAATTTGCAAAACTTTCGAAGAAAATGTGCAAATATTTAAAACAAACGTTGAATTATTAGACCAGCACTTAACGTCTTCAGCAGGATTCTATCGCATGTCCAATTCAAGGATTGGCTTTCCGTTAATCTACATCAACATATTCATGCTTGAAAACAAGGGACTTCTTCCAAAATTCGAAAACGGCTATCAAAAAACCTCTTCCGCATATATAATAGTCCGAATTTCTTTTCTTTACTTTTCGCTTTTTTTTGGGGACCGATTTAGAACACGGTGGTCAAATTGGTTTCAGGTTTGATCGCAGCCGTAAATCCCACCTACTTGAGTTTTACGTGGAAATGACTTTAACAATTGGCTGAAGCCGCGCGTAAAAAAGTGGTTGTCCATGAACGAAGATGATATTAGAGAAGCTTAGGACAGACTTGATGTTAGCATCCGGTTAAACGATAGTTATTGCACAATACTGCCGGTAGAATGTCTTGCACATAGGATTTTCGGCATGCTTTTAGCCTAGTTTCCTGCTTTCTAATCGTTCACGCATCAAACAGCTAAATATTAAATTTATTAAAGGAATGCATCGGAATACATTCTCCTTTATGTCTTGATAGGTACAAAGGAATCCAACCCTTACTTATCCTTAGATGGTGTGGATAAACAAAAACAGAATTTGAGTCTCACTTTAACGTAGTCAGTGTTTAAACTGTTTGTCCTTGATTTTTTTCCTTGAATCAACTAGTTGCTCAAAGAAGTGATATTCTTGTTGATTACCGGTTAGGACAGTGGGCACTTTTGATCCGGTAATTGGAATGGTTCAAGTAGAATTTAACGCTAATTAAATGGGAGCATTTCTTATCACTTTTAGCTTATCCGTTAAACTTTGCAACAACTCTCCGTTGTTCGTCTAAATTTGGCTCCGAGAACCAGTTTGCTAGCAAGATTTTGTCTCTAGGCGGTCTAGAACCACTTTGTTCCTAGAGAACCTGAAAATCCATATAATTTGCACCGATCTTTGATGGTATGTTTCCTACAGGGCACATGTCGTGACCGGCTAGAATTAGTTGCTTCTCTCCGAACGAATCATCGTCTAATAGCATTAAAACCGACCGAGATTCGCTAGATTTTAGTTGGTTTTCACAAAATTGACGAGTTATTTGCACGATTTTTTGCTTTTCTTTCGCTCAGCGCATTTGGCTATTTATTAAAATGAGGGTTTAAAAGTGGCTAGCCATTAAATGAAGATACGCCTGAAAATCCAAGTGCAAGAATGTAAACCATCAACCAATTTTAGTATTTTTTGCCAAAGCAATATTTTTGTATGAAACATTTTTCGTTTATGAATTAAGCGCGAAAAATTCAAAAGTGGCCCACGAAGCAGGAGTGGCTTGTAAAGCATCAGGAAAAAAATATTTTCCACGACAGTCTAAATGTCCGAAAAACTGATAAATTATTATTGTTTCACCTATAAATTAAATTTTGAATTGAACTTGAGTTAGTGAATATTTGAATTGAAAACCCTTGAAACATTTGTTCCGAAGTTATTCAATGACTAACCCAGGAAATTATAGTTGGGCTTTAAAGCAAATGAACTCAGTGGGATGAAATTATTTTTTTCCAGTAATTTTCACAGTTTTAGCTCAGATTGCTCAGTAACTCTGACGAACATCGTAACATTGACCTTGTATGTGAGAAAAGTTTATAAATGCCAACATTTGTAGGTATATTCGGCTATTTCGGCTTTGGCAATGGGTTGCGAATCTAATTTTACACTTACAATTAGTAGTACATAGAGCAAATGGATTTTTTTGAATGTCAGATGTTCATTGCCAGACGACCAGCATATAATGGAAGTTTATCTGGTGGTAATAGAAAATATTCAGGTTTTTCTGATGTTTTCTTGCTGTTTAGTTTAACAGCTGAAGGATAGATGTAGGTGGAACAACGACGATTAATGGTAAATACGGAACTAGCAATACCATTCTTCTAGAAAAGAAACACAACGCTAATGTATAACAATTAAGTGAAAAACCGACAATTATCGTCTATTAAACAGTCACACATGTGCGGGTGCGTACAATAGCGAAACAATCCTGTATTTAAATCAGACCTGAATATTTTTTAAACGTTCTTGTTTCCATACACCATACATGCAGAATTCACTAGGCGAATATTTCCGTTAAAGGTGTCAACTTTGAAACTTGTTAATAACAAAATCAGTTAGCAAAAAAGAAAGTAATTTGGCTGGGTGATTTGATA